GTTTCCTTGTGAGTGGACGCTGTGATTGTTTTGTCCGCTTCTAGCATCCTACTCATTGAGATTGTTTTTAATATAGAAGCAGTTACATCCTTTCGAAGCTCTTCCTCTCCTTCGAGGAAGAGCTGGTAGTTGATAGAAAAGTCAATTTGGTTGTTTAAGCTTTTGAATCTGAGCAAGGGATCCTATCCTCGAAGTTAACGCTCGACACGGCCCTCGTCGTCTGGGCTCAAGCCCCCTCCCCATATTCCGCAATCCTTATTCGTGTCCGCATTCCTAATGGATTTCTGATTTAACGCCAGGGCGAGCTCTGTCTGGCTAGGAGTCTTTTTCAAGACCGTTTGTTTTACGATACCCTTGTCATTTACCTGTTTTACCCCTTCTTCATAGTTTAAGTCTTCCGATTTGTTTTAGCTAGGCGCTCTTCAAACGCAATGCAACGAACTGCAGAAGACTCCCGGACCAGCTGTCGATTCAGAGGTGCGTTCCTACACACCGAATACTCACTGTGCTCCGTTTATCTTTACTCAATTTAAACCTCTTTGTGACCTGGGTTTCGAAGTGATATAATTTGTAGGGCATGGCTATAATTATCCCCCCCTTTCCCCGTGCTAAATGTGCTCTTCCGCCGAGACTTACGGTCGGGTGATTAAGGTTCAGCAGCCTGCCGTTGTGTTAAGTATTCGGAGAGTTACGATTAGGATGGAAACACGAGAATTAGCATCCTCTGGCCTTTAGCGCAAGGCCACCTGTAGGGTGTAGTGACGTTTAATTTTCTGTGCATCGTCTTTCATTTTTAAACATTTTCATCAGACAAAATAACACATTGCCTCGTTGAAACACAGTCCTCAGCGTTTAGTGAAGGCTTCTTCGCTTTAGCATCCCGTGGCATACTTGATTGATATTTTTCTCCAGCCTCCAATCTAGCTGATTTTATTCGTTTTGAGTGCGGACCTGGTTTGCTAGAGCCAAACCCTGTTCGTCGTTACTAAGTTAAGGGGCACTGTCCTACATACCGCGGAGGTCCTTTTTGTTTCAATGATTTACTTTTACGTCTTCGGCCATTTCTATAGGAAGCATGGCTCCACAACAAGGGTTGCTCTGCCAGGACTATACTAATACACACCTATGATAAGTAAAGCGCCCCTCCCCCCCCCGTTATCGAGGATAGTTGTCCGCTTGTGCGCTAATTGCTCGGTGGCCGACATACGGGTCGTGACCTGCTGAACTTTCATCACACGTGGTGGATTTTGGCACGGATGATTTGGATTTTTTGCAGTACTGGCGTTGTAAGACGTGCTTTTCTGTGCGACTCCCGAGTTGCACATTTCTTTGGCCGAACTGAGTCCCAGTACAGCGAATTGTTTTTCATGACACATCCTGACAGTTTGTAAGCTATTTCAAATGACCTTGCACCTTCCGATTTTATTCTTAGCTCAGTAATGTCCGCATGAGGCCGAATTTCGACTGGGATTTGCTAACAACCGAATGCGAAAAATTCTAACATGTCAGGCTTTATTGGTGCCTCTTGCTCTCCCTCCCAGTATATCTCATATAGCATAGCCGGGCACCATGCCCAATGGCTCGCAGCTGGGAAATAATCGGGCATTTTAAGTAACCTCATTCTCAGTACTCCAGAGGCACACAGTGAGAAGCCCGCGGACCAATTTTGTGCACGTCAAATCTCCGGCAGTACAAGCGATGCTAAACGACGTAGGATGCCGCATCTTTATTTATTGTTTGCACTCTCTAAGGTCTCCAGTCTACTGCATGCGTTGGACTACTCATCAAACACTGTAATGTGTTTGCGGAGACATCTTCACACCTTCAAACGCACTTACTCAGAGTCGTTTGTTTGTTAGTTGGAGGAGGGTGGGGGGGGAGTGCTTGTGGCATGTCTAGTGCGCCTCCTGTTAGCACAGCATCCTTGCGCAGCGTGGTTCCTCTTTTTGTCGGGATCTGGCCATCATTTCTGCCCGG